GGAGGGGAGGGAAGGAAGGAGGGAGGGGGAGAAGGGAAAGAGGAGGAGAAGAAGGAGGAAGGGGGAGGAGGGGGAGGGGAAGGAGGGGGGAGGGAGGGGGGGGAGGAGGGGAAGGGAAGGGAGGGAGGAAGAGAGGAATGGGAATAATAAGGATGATAAAGAAGAAAGAAAGGAAGAAGGAGGAAACAGGGATAAGGGAGGGAAGTTGGAGGGGAGGGGGTGAAGGGTCTTCCTCTTTTCTCTTCTCTCCTCCTTCTTTCCCTTCATTTTACTCTTGCTGAATCTCTTCTCCCCTCTCCTTCCTCCTCCTCTTCTTGCATTCTCTTTCGCTCCCCATTATCACTTTTTCTGTCTTCCTCTTCTTTCCCCCTTTTTCTTCCTCCTCTTCCTTCCTTTTTTCCTCTTCGCTTCCTCTTTCTCCCTCTCTTTTTTCCTTCCATTATCCGCACGTTTTTATATCCATTTCCCTTCCTCCCATCCAACCCTTGCCTCCCCTTCCCTTTTCCTGCTAATTCCTCCTCCCTCTCCCCCCCCCCTCCTTTCCTCCTCCTGTTTTAGCGATGGGAAGTACCCCCTCTCCCCTCCCCCCCGCCCCATCCCTAACTCCATTAACCCCCCCCCCCCTCCTCCTCTCTCACCCAAAGACAACCCCTTTCTTAACTCCATTAACCTCCCCACTACTTCCCCCTCCCCACCCCCCACCCCCCTTACTCTAACCTTCCCTCACCCCTCCTTACCTCCCCCTACCCCTACCAACCCTCTCTCCTCCCCTACCCCCCCCTCCCAACCTATCCAACCCTCCTCCCCCCTACCCCCGACCCCTCCCAACCTTCCAACCTCTTATCCCCCCTACCCCAGTCCCCTCCCAACCTTCCAACCTTCTCCACTCTCCCCTCCTCCACCCCCCCTCCCCCTACCGTCTCCTCCCCCTTCCCACCCTCTCTCCCCCTCACCCCCCACCCCACCCCCACCGCTCCGAAGAGCTGCAATATTCCCACGCTACCCACCTGTTCTTTGCAACGTTGACTGACCTCCGCACACACGTACATCGGTCGCCCCAGGCTGTGCCCTTATAAGGTACTTTTGTTGCAAGGCTGCTGCGGAATCGGTTGCACTCAGGTACACGCATTTACGCTCGTGTAGAGACGCATATGGACTTGCCTTTTTCTCTGCCGGTGTGTGTGTGTGTGTGTCTCTCTCTCTCTCTCTCTCTCTCTCTCTCTTCTCTCTCTCTCTCTCTCTCTCTCTCTCTCTCTCTCTCTCTCTCTCTCTCTCTCTCTCTCTCTCTCACACACACACACACACACACACACACACACACACACACACACACACACACACACACACACACACACACACACACGTCAGACAGAGTCATGGTTAAGCAATTTGCAAGGAAACACGTACTCCTTAATGAAGCAGTAGGTTACCTTTTTCTATGCCAATTTTGTTTTTATTTTTGATCTATAAACATATATATGTATATATATATTACATAATGTCTGTATGTGTTTTTTTTTTTTATAATTGTCGGTTCATTTTAAACTTTTTTTTGTATTTGAGTTCGTATCTTTATACATTTCATCATCATTAGTATTAGCATCATTTATATTTTCATCATTAATATCAGCATCGTTTATCTTTTTATTCCTTTTTTCTGGATTTTATTATTAATAATGCTTCGTCATGAAACACGCAATCCATTTTCATTGCAACCGCAGGAATCGCGGGTGAAAGGGGGTGACTTAAGTAAACACAAAAGTTTTGAAAAAATAGGTTTTTACTTTATTCCCTCCAGAGGACACGATTTATATACACATCAGATATACATCATATTTACAATTTCTTTTTTAAATACTCTCTAAGCGTACAATGTACACAAAAGTACAACGTACACACCTTCCGTACATAATTATTGAGACATTAACCCCACTGTGACCAAGTGTGTATTTTTTTTCTCTCTCTCTTTCTCTTTTTTTTCTCTAATAAAAAAAAGAAACAACGAACATAGATTTTTTTTCTTCTTGGCTTTAACTTCATTTTTTTGGGTTTGACTTTTTTGTTTTGTTTACTTCAGCTTACAAAAAACATCAATTGGAACATCACAAACATATTTAAGACAAACTCTGCTAAACTTCTAAACTCCTCTACGTTATTATCATTATATTTTTTTAGCACAAACATGAAAGATGAGAAAAAAACTATTAAAGAAAAAAAAGCCAAATAAAAAATACTGGAAAACATAAAATAAAATAAATGCATTTTGGTCATCTCTTTGGAAAACGAAAATTGAAATATATAGATAATTAATATGTTCAAATGTGCATCAGAATCAATCAGCTGACTAATGCATACATGGATATTTAAAAAAAGAGAGAGAAAGAAATTAATCTTACTGACAACAACTTCACACTGAAGGCAATAGTTTGTCAATAAAAGTATACATATAAACATATATATATCCTGTATATATAAAACACACATATATATCTATATATGTACATACACAAAAAAAAACAAAATCAAAAAAAGATCAAACACTTCTTCACACAGGAGAAAATGAAACTAATATGCACAGAATGGAAATAAAGGGGAAAAATGAGGAGAAAAAATAATAATTAATGATAATAATGATAATAATAATAATAACAGACAAACATTCTTGACTAAGAGAAAGATTTTATTGGATGACTTAGGAATTAGTCCGCTCATTTCGAGGAACTATCAACTAACAAGGAACATGCCAGGGTGAGGGGTAGGGGAGAGGGGGGGGGGGAAGGGGGAGGGGGCGAGAAGAGAAGGGAGGGGGAGGGGGGAAGCACAATAATTGATCTAATGCTTTTTCTCTATGTTCTCTCGTTTTCATCAGTTCAATTTATTAATCTTCATTTTTTTAAATTTCTTCAATTACCAGCAAATACTTATAAATACCTATACTTATATACTGGTTGTGCTTCGATGGGTGAGAGAGAGAGAGAGAGAGAGAGAGAGAGAGAGAGAGAGAGAGAGAGAGAGAGAGAGAGAGAGAGAGAGAGAGAGAGAGAGAGAGAGAGAGAAATACCCAAGAAGCTTTGGCAAAACATTCTTGTGTGATTTTGCTGGTAAATGAAAAAAAATACATATAAATTTAAGCAAAAAACATAAATGGATGGAAGCTTACAAAAATATTCTGTTAGGTTTAAATCCACCTTGATACTCTTGAAACCTTTCTTATATACTTTTCATATATACGAAACAACATTAGCACTTTTTGTAAACCTTTTTTTTTTTTTTTTTTACTTCCAGTGTTGCCACGTCTTCGGGAATCTGTATAATGCCCGTGCAGTTATTTTTTAAGGCAATTTTTTTTTCTGAATGAGAATGAGCCTGCTTTGAAATGCGTGAGAACATATTGAGAACAGAGAATATCACTGATAACAGATATGAATATGAGGAGGAAGAGGAAGGGGAATGGGGGAGGGAGGAAGAAAGGAGGGGGGAGGGGGGCACATCTACACAACATCACTCTGAGATCTGTCTGTGGGGGAGAGAGGAAAAAGGGGGAGGGGGGAGAGAGAGAGGAGGGGGAAGAGAGAGAAAGAAAGGAGAGAATAGTAAATGAGCGCGAGTGTGATTTAAAGGGAAAGAGATTAAAAGAGTGAGAGAAAAAAAAGTGAAAAGATATTTCTTTCCACTAAATCTCCCATCTCTCTCTCTTTCTCTCATTCTCACCCCCACTCAACACTCTCCTCTCCCATCTTTCTCTCCCTCGCCCTCTTCTCTCTCTCTCTCTCTCTCATCTCACTATATCTTCGTGGATTTGACACAAGCGTTCGTATCTCTCACTATACAGCACACTACACTTCAACACAGCGACAAAGGGGGCAACCGCATATAAAGGGGGGGGGAGAGGTGGGTAGGAAGGGCGGAGATGAAATAGGAAGAGAGGGAGAGGGGAAGAAGGGGGAAGAGGGGTGGGGAGGGGGATGAATTAGCCTCCATACACAGACCACAAAAAATATATATATATATAAAAGGACCACAGGTTTCACCATCATCACTATCATGTCACCATCATCGTCATGACGTCACCACCGTTCCTCATCACAATTCTTCTTTTTTTGCGGTGTGGATATCTTCGCTATTCACTATCTCCTAAACCAAAAAAACAACAACAAACAAACAGTCGCGAGAGCACAAACAAAAACAAAATCTTTGTTTCGTGTTGTCGCTTCCTTGTTTACTTGCTTGCAACTGTCTGCTTGATTAAGTCCCTTGTTTTCCTCGCACAAACACACCAAACTCCTCCCCTTTGCCACTGTGCTTGCTCCTTTAAACAACAACAATACTTCTTCGTCCATTTGTTCACTGTTCATTTCCACTGTTCACATGGAAGGCACTACAATATAAACACAATTTTTTGTACCACATTCCACATACCACAAGTTACAGTGTACATATATATATTTATATATAATTAAAAAAAAGAGAGAGTGTGAGAGAAAAAAAATCGATTTATTTTTAACAATAAATAAAATAACACATTTGCAAAAAAAAAAAAAGAAAGAACAGAGAGAGAGAAAGACGGCGAAAATAAGGAGAAGAGATAGCCATAACTAGAGTAGAAGTAGTAAATAGTAATGATAGCTCCTAAATTAAAACATCTTTGGATGTGCTTGGGACTAAAGAGAAGTGAAAAACATCACTTCAGTATTTCAGTTTGTTTGTTTTCGTTTCTTTTCTTTCGGGGCTTCTGCGGGGCTGTGGCTTCCTTGCACGCGTGAGGTCGAGAAGAAGGGAACTCGTGTACTTTCTTCCTTTTCACAACCTCCGTCCACCACCTTCCAGAAGGCGAAAACAACAACGAAAATAATAATAATTAATAATACTATCAATTGTAATAGAAGTCTTGGTTTCTCTTTTTTTGGCGTCACTAGCAAAAAAATGTTTTATTTTTTTCGGGGGCAAAATTTTATTTGCTTTTTTTTCTGCTTACTTTTTTTTAAACACTTATGAAGACGAAGAAGAATCGCACAGAGTCAATTATTTTCTCTCTCTTAAATCATCCTCTTCTCTTCACTTTCACTTTTTTCGTTCTTCTCTTTTCTACAGGCATCGTAGAGTTCGAAGAAAAAAACGTAATTATTTGAACGAATCACTAAACCTCCGTGGCAATGTAATTCTCATCATCATAATGTTCCTCTATAACGAACACACTTGACGGCGTGGTACAGGTGGAAGGCGTACAGGTGGAGGTTAACGTGTTGGTGGAGGTGTGGATGTCGCAGCTGCCGCCTCCACCGCTGCCCACTCCGCCTCCGCCTCCGCCGCCTCCGCTGCCGATGAGGCTGTTGCGCTTGCTGTACACATCGCTGCGGGAGAGAGAGAGGGGGGTTAGGGGCGATCCGAGTGCATGGGAGAGAGGGAGAAGAGGAAGAGAGAGGGAGAGGGAGAGGCAGAAGACAATATTTCAGATAAGGTTTCGTCTGAGGACTTTGTGAGAGAGACTGATTGCCGAAGGCGTGCTTACCTGTGGCTGTGGACTCGCGGGAGGGGGGTTCGGGGAGCACCTTGCAGGGCGCGTTGAGCTCCGAGGTGGGCGTCCCGCGGCAGGCAGGGGCGTGGGCGGGAGCGTCGAGGCCCTTCTCGAGGCAGTCGGCGAGCGAGAGGCGCGACACGTCGGTGTTGATGGTCTTGGTGCTCCTCGCCGGCACGATGCTGTACGTGTTCTCGACGGCCTTCTTGGCGTCGGGCTCGTGCAGGTGCAGGTGGTGGCCGCCCTGCAGGTGCGGCAGCGCGTGGTGCTGCGTGTTGAGCGGCTTGGCCGGGTAGTCGAGCGAGTTGATGATCATGTGGTCCTCCAGGCACTTGTTGTTGGCGGCGTTGACGGCGTTGTGCACCATGTTCTGCTCGTTCTGGCGCCGCGCCTCCTCGTCCTGGCGCGCGCGCTCGCGCCTCCTGCGCCGCTTCATGCACACGATGGCCAGCGCCGACACCACGGCCAGCACGGGCACGGCCACGCTGAAGGTCACCACCAGCACCACCTGCGCCGCCGACATGGGTGACGCGTCCACGTCCACCTGCGGCGCCGGCTTGGTCACCACCGTGCAGAAGGGGCCGCCGCCCAGGGGGCGTGCACTGGAAGCCCACGGCCAGCTCGGGCGCCTCCACGCAGTAGCCGCCGTTGTGGCACGGCGCCGACGCACACGGCGACACGGGCACGGGCACACGCGTCGTGCACTGACGGCCGCCCCAGCCGGGCCGACACTCGCATGAGAAGTCGTTGACGCCGTCCACGCAGGTGCCGCCGTTGGCGCAGGGCTGCGTGCGGCAGTCGTCCACGTTGGTCTGGCACAGCGTGCCCAGGAAGCCGGGGATGCAGCGGCACGTGAACGAGTCGAGGCCGTCGATGCACGTGCCGCCGTTGAGGCACGGCCGGTGCGCGCAGTCGTCCACGTTGGTCTGGCAGCGGTCGCCCGTGTAGCCGACGGGGCACACGCACTGGAAGCCGTCGTGCTCGTCCACGCACGAGCCGCCGTTGAGACAGGGGTCCGACGCGCACTCGTTGACGGGGCGCTCGCAGCTGGTGCCCTCGTAGCCGGCGCGGCAGTGGCACTCGTAGCCGGTGGCTGTGTCGGAGCAGGAGGCACCGTTGAGGCACGGCCGGTCGGAGCACGACTGCCCGGAGATCTCGCAGTACTGGCCGGTGAAGCCCGAGGGGCACTGGCACACGAACTGGTCGTCGCCCGCGTCCAGGCACGTGCCCCCGTTGCGGCACGGCGTGTTGGCGCACGTGTCGTTGATGATCTCGCAGATGGTGCCCGAGAAGCCCGGCGGGCACTCGCACGAGTACGAGCCCGGGGCCGTGTTGAAGCAGGTGGCGCCGTTCTTGCACGGGCGGTGGTTGGTGCAGAAGTTGAGGTCCTGGTTGCAGAAGAGGCCGCCCCAGCCCTCGATGCAGTTGCACTGCCACTGCTTCTCGCAGGTGCCGTGGAGGCAGCCGGGGTACACCTGGCACTGGTCGCAGTTCGGGCCCTTCCACCCGCTGTGGCACCTGCAGGAGAGGAAAACGAGCCGTTAGCCACGCGACGAGTGAAACAAAGACAAGAATAAGAAAACCATATATGAGCAAATCAACGCAGGCCCTCTCCCGCGCCCCGCCCGTCCCACGAAGAGGAAAAAAGAGGCTAATTATAAAGTCATCGAAGCCACCTCTTGCCCTCTCCTCCTCCTCCTTGTCCTCCGACCGGCAATAGTGTTCGTCGGGCCTCGCGGGGCTTCCTTCCCATGATGCCCTTCGCCAAGGAAGTGACACCTGATCTCGGCGTCCTCTTACAACCTCCTCCTCGTCTCCTTCACCTCCTCCTCCTCCCCCTATTCCTCTTTGGCCTCTCTTTTCGACTTCTTATTCGTCCCAACACCCTCCGTATTCCCCCTTCCTGAGCTTCTGTTTAAATTCATGTCTGATCCCCCCCTCCCTTGTAACTGACTTTTACCTAAGGGAAAGAGGAAAGAGCGGGAGGGAAAGAGGGAGGAAAGAGGAGTAGGGAGGGAGAAGGGGTGCGGGTAGGGGAGGAGGGAACGGTTCGGCGGTAAGGGGATACACTAGCCAAGGGGTTGAGGGACCTCAAGTTAAACAACAATAAAACGTAAGGAGGTCGGTTTCCTCTTCCCCTCCTCCTCCTCCTCCCTCTTTGTCCTTTTTCCTGATCTCTCCCCTCTACCCCCCTCTTCCTCCCCCCCCCCTTCCCTGAAGCGACGAAAAAAAAAAAAAAAAAACAATATTCCCCATGACAATACCCTCCCTCCCCCCCCCCTGGTGATAATAACCTCCCCCCCCCTCCACACTCCCTCCCCCGGTGGTAATAACCGAAGCAATACTCACTTGCACTCGTTGGGCTGGTCGCAGTACCCGGTGGACTCGTGGCAACCGGGGCTACAGATGGCTACGGGGAGAGAAAGGGAAAAAAAATTAGTTATGCATTGCCTACCTCTCGGAGAAGATATTGAGATGCGCATTCATATCAACGACTTAAAAAAAAAATGACAGAGAGAATTTATTCGAAAAAGAAGTGTGGGAAGGGATTAAGAGGAACAAGGAGGAAGCGAAGGATCAATAAAAGCGAAAGGAGAAAAGTCGCACATTGACGATAAACCGGGCCTAACAGATAAGAAAAAAGAAAGAAAGAAAGAAAAAAAAAAGCTTCGAACGCACATCTGCTTGTGACATCTGTCCCTCCCCTCCTCCCTTTCTCCCCCCCCCCCCGGCTTGCCCTCCCGCATGGCATCAAACACCTCGCCAAACACCTCAACTCGGAGAAGACGAGAAGAGAGAGAGAGAAAAAAAATCATTTAAGAGCGTGTGATTCAGAGAAGTTGAATCCCAAGACGAGACCGCTTTGTTGCCCAAGAGAGAGAGAAAAAAAATCCAATATCCCAACTCTTTCTTGTTCTTCATTATTTTTATTTTTGGAGAAAGAAAAAAAAAAGAGTGAATGAGGAGTGAAACTAAATGAACCGCGGCGAGGCGTTGTGAGCGCGGGTAGCAGCTGCGAACGCGTGACGTCACACTACTACCCGCTGTACCCCCCCTCCCCCCCCTCTTTCCCTCGTAGCCCTGCCATCTGGCGGCGGCGGCGGACACGACTCGGGACGACGGTAAACAACAACAACAATTAACCAAAACCACGTGTTACCCTGGCGTCGCGTCGAACTACAACATGTGCGGCAAAGATAGAGAAAAAGAGACAATAAAAAAGACTAAGAAACAGAAAGGCAATCAATAGTAAAGAAAAAAAAACACAAAAGAGAAAAATAGAAAAAGTAAAAAAATCCAAGAAAAAAAACCCCTCAAAACCAGCAGATGAAAAATAGAGAGAAAAAACAACAAACTCCAAATACTCACGTTTGAGACAGTAGTTATCGGGTCCCTGCCACCCGTCGAGGCACACGTACTCGCCCTGGTCGTCGCACACGTAGCGGCCGAAGGAGTCGTTCCTCGGCTTGCACCACTTCCGGCAGCCCTCGCCGTAGTAGTTCTCCTGGCAGGTCACTCGGAACTCGTAGGAGAGCGACGAGTGCGAGGTGCGGTGGTCGTCGCCCGTCCACTCTTCCCCGAGGTCGAGCCACCGCTGGATCATCAGGCGGGTGATCAGGGCCGGTTCTGGGGGGGAGAGAGGGGAGGGGTCAGTCGTGGGGTTATGGGGTGGCTGTGAGACGGGGGATGGTGGAGATGGAGGAAGGGAGGAGATGGTGGTGGGATGGGAGAATGATGTGGGGAGAGGTGGGGAGATGGATTATGAGGGGGAGGAGGTGGAGATGCGAGTGTGAGTGAGAGAGTCATTATGAGGCGGCAAAGGGGGCGTGCCAAAAAAAACCCGCAAACCTAAAATGACTACATGAAACCGCGCCTCCGCAGATACGTAGAGGCATCGACCATAACACATTAAAAACCGCATATTTCTTCCAGAGTGCATCTCCGGCATGGGAAACCGAGCGTGGATAATCTACATAAAAATATCGGAAGAAAAAAAGGGAGAAGCGAAGACTGATAAAAAGGCAAAGATGTAATTTTTTCATCGATATGCTCGGTGAATCTCCTGTGTGCGTGGGCGCGCGCGCGCATCGAGTCCAGACCTCCCTTGTCGTGAGAACACAACCCGATAAAGAGGAAAAAGAGGAACTCGTGAGAAACACATAATAACGGATAAAACAAGGACGTGGTGAGGGAGGAAAAGGTGAAGAAGAAACTGGTAATAAAAGGGAGGAGGAGGAGGAGGAGAAGATGGAAGATGAGGAGGAGAGAGCGTAAGAAATAGCGAAGGAGGCGCGGAGAAGGGAGGGGGAGGAGGGAGGAGGAGGGGAGCGGAGGGGGGGGAGGAGAGGTGTGCATGGCGCTGGCTGCATGACTTGAAGTGCATGGGAGCGTGGGAAAGTGTCTGGCGAGCTGCTGGGTCTTGCCAGGGAGGGAGGGCGGCGAGGGAGCGGGAGGAGAGGAGGAGGGAGGAGGGCGGGCGAGGAGGGTGATGCGAGGGGGCAGGGAGGAGGGAGGGAGAAGAGGCTGGGAGGGAGGGAGGAGCGAAGACGTGTGTTGCCCTGCATACACAATGCCCAACCACTTAGGTATCGGTACACGCAGGTACCAAATGTTTCTCTTAATTTTTTCTTCTTTTTACTCTCTCTCTCTCTCTCTCTCTCTCTCTCTCTCTCTCTCTCTCTCTCTCTCTCTCTCTCTCTCTCTCTCTCTCTTCTCTCTCTCTCTCTCATGTTTAAATGCCACGTTTTGCTATCTTTTTCCAACTTAAACTATACGATCTTACAAGGTCGTTTGAATCTACCGGAAAAAAATAACATCCTCTCAAAAGGAAAAAAAAGAAGAGACGAAGAACCAAATGGAACAGAGAAAGAAAAAACAAAACAAAAGAACAAGCAAATAAAACAAGAGAAACGGGAGAAGAAAAAAAAAAGAACAAGAAGGAACCAACCAGCTGTAAGTCCCTCCCTCCTCCTTCCTCCCCTCCCCCTCCCCCGTACCTGCCTAAAGCACGGCTGCAATTGCCACGTTTAAGCTGTTAGTCATCGCCGTGCCCCGTGCAACACAGGCCATGGGAAAAAGCAACGAACGAACAGAAGCACGGGAGAACAGGGAGAACACAGATAGTTGCTGTTCTTCAAAGGGCTGGGAACGCTTCGATATTGTTATATGTCCGTCTATTTTATATTTTGGAGAAGAGAGAGAGAGAGAGAGAGAGAGAGAGAAGAGAGAGAGAGAGAGAGAGAGAGAGAGAGAGAGAGAGAGAGAGAAGAGAGAGAGAGAGAGAAGCGAGTTGAGAGCGAAAATAGGAGAGGAATAAGGGAGGGGAGAGAGAAGAAAACTAACTACCTGAAACTGCCCAAGAAGTCGTTAGAACGCTCTCGAATGCCTGCCCCTTCCTACCCCCTACCCCCTACCCCCAACCCTATCAATACCCTCTCCATACCCCATTTTCCCTTCTCTCTCTCTCTCTCTCTCTCTCTCTCTCTCTCTCTCTCTCTCTCTCTCTCTCTCTCTCTCTCCTCTCTCTCTCTCTCTCTCTCTCTCCCCCATGCCCAAAGGTCCCCATCTTTTCTCCGTTCACGCTAAATTGGTGAGTTTACTCCGACTCTTAGCACAGGAAATGGATTTCTCGCAGGGAGGGGGGGAGGAAAGGGCAAAAAGAGGAAGGTCTGTATAGACGAGGGAAGAAAAGAGAAGAGAACAAGAAAAACATGAAAACTTACAAAAAAAAAATTACTTAACTACTCCACCTTGCCTACAGGAAGGTAAGAGAGAGAAATGCCTACCCACGATCGCGGCCCATTAAAAGACGCACACGCACTCGCGCACACACACACATGTAAACAAAAAGGGAGGCGGCCAAGGAGCAAAAACTGGACGTTCCTTCCTCGTGAGTGAGTGAACGTCTCAAGGAGTCTACAGAGGAGACTACATAACGACCCCCTCTCCTCCTACCTCCTCCTCCTCCTAATCCTTATTCTCACCTCATTCGCACGGAGAGAGGAAGAAGACGTAAAGCAGGAGAAGAAGAGAAGAAGCATAAGAAAAGAAGAAGGAGGAGGAGGAGGAGGAGGAGGAAAACACCCACGTCCGTCTCACCTCTGTTGCTCCGACGGCGGTGGATGCTCTCTCGCGCGCAGGCGAATGAACGGAGCGACGGAGGCAAAAACGTTTGACAATAGTGTGTGTGAGAGAGCGACAGAACATGAGAGATAAGAGGAGGGATAGAGATGAATGGAGACAGAGGAAGAGGAGAGAGAGAGAGAGGGGGGAAGGGGGGGAAACACGTGTAATGATAACCATATATCGTTTTCCTGTGTTCTATCGCATTACAAAACACTCGGGGGGAAAGATACAGGAGGAAATTACAGCGGTTCGGTCAAGCGCTGGAGTGTGTCGTCATGGAAAGGGGAGGAAAGGAAGGAAAAGGGGGCGAGCGAAAGAGAGGGAAGGGAAGGCGAGGAGGAAGGGAGAATAGCGGAAGGGGGGAAAGGTAAAGTAGGTAGGTTGGTAGGAAGGTAAGCCGGGACTAAGAGTGGGGAGGGGAAGCGAGGCAGGAAGGGAGGGGAGGAGGGAGGGAGGGAGAGAAGGAAGGGGGAGAGCTAAAGAGCGTGAGAAGAAGAAGAGGCGAATTTGCAACAGCAGCAACAGCGAGAACCAACAACACTAAAAAAGGCGAAGGGATTAGGCGAACGGAAGGAGACACACGTGGTTAAAAGCTACGAAAAAGGACGTCTGTAAAACGCTCCCTAACAAAGCTACCGTTGTGACGTTCTCCCTCTTCTCTTCTCTCTCTCTCTTTACCTCTTTCGCTCCCTTTTACCAAACCTTACAGCTTAGAAGGACCCAAACCGACAGACTAACATCCAACACAAATATTCCTCATATAGACAGCGAGAGGAAAAAGACAGGGGGCGATATTCGAACACGCACCGACACACACACACGCAGGAGCGGGTTGTCAGCAGTTGGTGGAGTTCCTAAGGGCGGGTATCCTACACCGCCTGGGGGTTCCTGAGCGTCCCGTCTTGCCCCGGGGCGACCACTAATATCCTGCCAGTCCCCCTCTCCCTCCGACCCTCCTCCTAACCCCCAAGCCACCTAATGGGACTTATTAAGCCCCCGCCAGCGATCTTTCTCCCCCGAAACCCTCGCTCCTTTACGTGGCTATAGACTGATCGTCAAAGGTGTTTTTTTTTTTTTTGTGTGTGTGGAAACATCAATCCATAAAACACCAATATTTCTCAATCATCATAATCTTTCTTTACTTGTTCTCTCTTTTTCTCCTTCTTCCCGACTAATGGACAGAGTGGAGGAACAATCGAGATTTGTTTAACGCTGGCGACCGCACACACTCCACATTATAAACACGACGGGTGCCAGAAGGCCGTCCTGTGGTACTACACACATACACACAAAACCCATGAACCGAGCGTCAACTTCCACACATCCTACTTCGATCTTTGGGAGGGGGAGGGAACTACATTGACGCTTACTTTAATATATTTCTCTCTCTCTCTCTCTCTCTCTCTCTCTCTCTCTCTCTCTCTCTCTCTCTCTCTCTCTCTCTCTCTCTCTCTCTCTCTCTCTCTCTCTCTCTCTCTCTCTCTCATTCGGAGGGCGATAAACTCGGCGTATTCTGAAACACTAGCGACTCGAACGAAACCGGATGCACCGCCATTCCCTCTCCCTCTCTCTCTCTCTCTTCCCTCTCCCTCCCTTCTTCTATCGGACGCAGTTCTCTCTTTCCGCCACCCCCATCATCCTCCCTTCCCTCCCTCTCGCTCCCCCCCCTTTTCTCTCTCCTCCCATCTGTTCCCTATCTTCATCGGCTATTGTTTTGGGTCTTTACATCTGGTGTCCGCTGACCACATGCTAATCGCTGTCCGCTACAAAATGCTGATGTAATTTATGTGCTTTTATTGTTATACATTAGGGAACTATTGACGTGATAATTATATATCTATGCTCTGAACTTGGATATCGATAAGAAGCTTATATTTTCAAAATACTAAGAATAAATAAGTATAAAAATATAGAACCACTATATCCAACCCAACATTAAGGCATCATTCGATCGTCGTTCAAATGCCACCTTTACGACAATCCTCCAGAAGGGCTAGATTACCTCGCTTTAATGGGTCGGACCTCTCAAGAGGAGGCGGCACCAACAATTAAAACCTTCTGCTAATCCCATCTTAGGTCGTTCGCGAAGGGTCGGCAAAGTGACCTGAAATGCCCTTTGACCTAACACTGCTCTCTTTACCTAGGCTACTTCCCCCCTCCCCCTCTATCATCCATCTCTCCTCTTCTTCCTTTTTTCTTCCCTTTCATCCTACGTCTTTCCATGATCTGACCTCTCTTGCCTAAAAAAAGTGACCATCTGACCTAACTTTTGTGTCCCCGAATCCCTAAGGAGTGAGATTTTAAGGTATATAATCTCATACACATTAGGATGACCCGAAGAGACGCGAGTCAGGTCAACACATGATTACAAAGTTTAGAAATATATAAAAATACTAATAACATCAGAACATGAAAGGATAATATTAGGTAGGTAGGCCTATACGATCTTCGGTCTGGACTCGATGCGACGCGGTTTCGAAATAACTAAATTTAACCTTAATTTATGTAGTAGTTGTAAGCAAAGTAATGAATAAACAAAACATCGAAAGTACTCACCAACATAAGTAGCAGTTGTGTTGGGTTCTTCATGCCATGCTTCTATGATGAGCGAAAATGTTCCCTGTTGAAGAAAAGGAAGAAATTTCCACTATGAGCACTTGTATTCTTTCGTATATCTTTACTATATATTTTTATGCATTTCTTTCTTTCTCTTTCGGTAATACACTTAATGAACGGAATATGGCGATCGAACTTGTACGTACACACAATACGCACACGCATAAACACACACAAACACGAATCCCAAAGTGCTGTGATCAATCAATTGTGAAGTTCTTTGCCGTTTTAGAAGTATATTATCATCACCTTTTCTAAGACACAATCTTCTCTCTATACAAGAATCTCGAATGGAAAACTTCTTATTTTTCTCTCTTCTCTTACAGCTTTTCCTTAGAGCGATTCTCAACGGTCCATAAAGCAATCAATACCAGCGTAAGGTACACTTTACCACTTGGACGAAAGTCGTTTATGATTTTACAACCTCCGTCAGGCTTTCCGGGGTTAACTGCTGTGACTACTCACTCACACTCATCTACTGATGGGTGTATGCTTCACTTCTTTCGATTTTATCTAGAAAGTGCATCACCACTTTCGTAAAATCACTGGTGTAGTTTGTTCTCGTCTTTTTTTTAACACTTTGGTTCGATTTCTCACTTGAAGAGGTTGAGAAAATCTTTTCTTATTCACCATGAAAAGCCTATGGTAACATTTTTATCCATAGTTGTATTTTAAGCACTCGTGATAGGCCGTGAAACTGATGTTACTGTTTCAACACAGGCCGAAGCACATTTTTTCACCATAGCACCATAGGCCTATGTCAAGAACACTGATGGTATGCGTGTTCACAGTCTCGGCAAATAAAATGCACTTTTTTCCACTTCCTTTCTATCACATTTCTGTTTTCTTCCACTGATTTCTTTGGGACTTTGTTTGCACCAAAAAGGTATAATGATTATTTTTTATTTTGAAGTAGAAGAAACGAGAAATACGAAAAGAAAAAGACCAGAAGATGAAAAATGATTTTACACTGTACATTCACACTTCCAACCGTGGGAACGTTCCTTCTTTGCTCGATGCACTTTTACTACACGAGTTTAAGGATTAAGATGCACTTTGTAACAAGAAGTGGACAAAAAACTTGTTGGGTCACTTTGCTCCGTTCAGAACGAGAAGAGAAGTCGAGAAAGAGAGTGAGGAATAGTGAGTAAACAGGCATAAGAGAGAGGAAAATTATTACCTCTACTCGCCATCTCTTTACTTAGGTTATTCTCCTCAATTCTCTTCTCTCTCTTTCTCTCCTCCTCTCTCTGCTTCTGTCTCACTCTCTCACTTGTGTAGTTCTTTTCTATTCATTCACTATACATAGGCAATTTTTCACTTAACACAATTCCAAATAGCACTGTATCACTGTTTATCCTCGTCGTCTTGCACTGTACACTCCTTCAAAAACGGCAAAGTTTCGACACAATTCTCACAATCTTTGGGACTTCGCGTATGTATGGTGTTTTCGCTCACTAAGTTTTCTTCGCATCATATTCCGTACATTAAATCAATACCACATTTTCGAGAAAGAACACTACTATATATCAAAACATTTTCCATTTCTTCTTCACCAACACAGAACACACATCCACTTTGATGGAAGCATATTTTTCCTCTTGTATTTCCGTTTTCCTTACCTGCCACGAAGCGAGCTCAAAGGGCACCGGATTGCGGAAACCCTGCAAATCCACTTTGGAGAAATCCACTTCGTTGTCGCCCAAGACCGGAGTCTCAGCCTCACCGAAAGTGCATGGCGATTCCGGGTCTATAACTTCTTGGTAAACCTTGAGGCACACGCGAAATTTCGTCTTGCAAGTACCCGTGCAGTGTCCTTGCGAGTTCCGATAGCCGCTGCAACAATGTCCTTCGGTGTCCTTGCCGAAGCGGTTCGAGAACTTCTTCAGGCGGAGTTCGAACACGGCGTTGGCCGAGGTCTTTGGGAAGGAGACAAAAGGGAGACTACGTTAGTAAAATGCGTGGTGAATATTTCTGTTAAAATGGGTTTGATTTTAAAAGCTACTGACTTTGGGATAAGGTATACTTTTGGGGACTTGGGATTTTTTTTTTATCCACAAGGAATACTCGGATACAAATTGTCCAAATTAGATGGTATATATCCACACACACTGCCACGATTTCCAAAGGCTTCAACACTGAGATATCACTCGATCACAAACTTACCTCAATGAAACACTGCGACAAGACGATCCCGGCCAGTGCGATGGCCACGGGATGTGAGAGCCACCGCATGGCTGTGTGTTAGTGTAGAACCTGCGTCGTGGAATGCTTTTTCGATACAACAATACACCACGTATTGTATTTCTTGTATCCTGCGTATCGTAGGCGATGTTGGGGGTACGTCGAGGAGAACCGCAGGAGTCAACAGTGGAGAGGGGGAAGGGGGGAGGGGGGAGAGGAGGAAAAAAAAAGGAGAGCTTTAAAAAAAGGGAGCGTGTGATGCTGCTTCAGGACCGCACGCGGCACACCCTCTCCGTGCGTAGGTTCGTGACAGACTGACGAGCGAGAGAAACGTTCGGGCTGAGCTCCGTCCGTCCGCCCGCCGGCTCCCTAAGCTCCGCCCGCCGGCTCCCTAAGCTCCGCCCACGACCTGCCGCAGAAACAACACCGTTTTACTACGATTAGTATTACTCTTATATCTAATTTAAAAAAAATCTTCTTATATCTTGGCCTATCTTCACTCCCTTATCTCAGTTGACTCTCTGTTTAATTTCATCTCTCTTTCTTTTCATAAGTATCATCCACTATTTATCGGAGAAAGACACTGCTTCTCAAATATTAATAACTTCTCCGATATTTTATTTCTTCTTAAATACTACACTAAACATTACCTTGTTGAGTCTCACCACAAACAACACTGATTTACCACATTCATTATTCACCACTTCTCTTCACTTATAACACATAATTCCTTAGTTTTCTAAGTATCTCTCTATGTACCAAATCCTTCTTTAACATTTCTTAATTTCTGTTTCTGCAAATAACACAAAAAGTAAGACAAAACACGTGGAAAAGACGTTTGTTTTCTACTCATTTTGGTCCTAGCGTTTATAAGGTGTAGTTCGAGGAGCGGCCGACAGAGGGCAGTAACACGCAGTGAAGGTAACCGGGAGAGAAAATATAAACTCGATTAATATTATTTCTGCATTTTGTATCAACTCTATTATGGTTATATATAATTTCGAGTGATTTTATGAATTTCTAGCAGTGGATGATACGTCTGTTGCTCTAAATAGGAAA